CTGGCTTAGATTGCTGGCAGGTTGGACAGGTAGTAACAAACTCATGAACATCATGTTTAAGGCCGGGCCAGGCAAAAAGATGACGTACCCTGCGATAAGTGACAGGCACCCCGGAGTGTCCACCCACTGCCGAAGTATGTAATGCTTGCATAATGCAAAGATGCAGTGCCTTGCAATTTCCCAACCAAATTCTGTTCTTATAGCGTAGCAGGCCATTGTGAAGAGTGAAATTTGGTACAGCAGTAGGAGATACAGCTAACTGGGCAATGTAAGACTGAGCTTGTGGGTCTGATGAGTAAGCTGCAATGATGTCATCACACCACTGTGGTATCACCGTGGCTATGGCCAAGCAAGCATCAGCATCATGGGGTCGTCGCGACAGAGCGTCAGCAACACGATTTTCAGTCCCCTTTCTGTAAACGATTTTGTAGTGCAAGCCAAGAAGCTTTGTAAATACTTTTTGTTGCCACATAGTATTCAGCCTTTGCTCATTGAGGTGAGTGAGGCTCTTCTGATGTGTAAAGATAAAAAACTCAGCGTGATTTTTTTTAACATTTTTTGTAAACTAATTTTAAATCTAACACTGTTTATTTTTTTAAAAAAAACTAACACTTTTGACCGCGCCTATTGCCATGGCGTGGCGAAACGTCTGTGCCGTGCCATGCATGGTGGCGCGGCGGGAGGATAATGTAGTGACGACCGGGGCGCTGACTGGTGACGTGGCAGGGTCTGCCGCGCCATAGACCACGGCGCGGCACTGACGCGCCAAGGCCCACGGCGCGGCAAGATCTGGACGCAGACAGAAGACCAGCCTCAGCTGCTGTCGGTGAGGATCGACAGCGATGCGACCATGGACCCCGGTTTCGTGTCGCAGCTGAACGACACCTGCAACTCCGACCCCAACGCCTTCGCCTTCCTCGACCCCTCGTCGGTGGGCTTCGACAACGCCTTCTACCAGAACCTGCAGGTCGGCAAGGGCCTCCTGGGCTCTGACCAGGTGATCTACTCCGACATGAAGTCGCGCATCACAGTCGACTACTATGCGTCCAACCAGGGTGCCTTCTTCGGCAATTTCGTGGCGGCGATGACCAAGCTCGGGAGGATCGGGGTCAAGACACCGGCCACCGGCGGCGAGATACGCCGGGACTGCCGGTTCCCGAACTAGTTGCTAGTTAATCTCGCCGGCAGTGCTCCCGCGACGCATTGAAACGAATATGAAGCAAATAAATGGAGTCCGTGCGCAAGTTGACAAGTTGCCACATAACATTTTCATTGGTTCACGAGTCTACAAGTTTCGGACGACAATATTTGTTCCACATAAGTTCGACATAACTAACTAAGTCCCCAGAGTGCAAGGATCCCTCGGACGCCTCTGTCTCTTCGGATTTGTAGGCAACACATTGGAAGTGTAGCCAACGTCGGTGTGGTCGTGTTGCCGGTGCATATGGCTCGTACCCTGCAAGTATATGATATGCACGAGTACTTATAATCTCTATGATCGTTAGTTCATAGAGCCTACGTATTTAAAGAAACTACCTTTGTTACTACCTGTGAGGCTCCTTGGGTACCAAGCGGGGCACCACCTAGTTGAGACATGCCGATCTCGTCCTGCGGCCAATCGTCCCACTAGTGGTGCTGTCTGCGGAAGCCTGAGGGGTTGTCGTCGTCGTCATCGTCATCCTCGTCGTCTTTGTTTGCAGGGTCCTTCCCAGCGCTATGATGTGGTGGTGTACGCACTGTGGAAGTGACACCTGTCACCGGCTGAGAAGAGCCGGCTAGTGTCCTCAAAGAGCCAAAAGACATGCCACCTGACCGCGCCGGGACTGCCGATTCCACTCAAGGAGTGTCCATGCAGCTTATCTTCTGAGCTAGCTTCCTGCAGCTCCGCTTCACCTTCTGCATAAATTGACGTTAAAGTTAGTGCATTTTCCAAACGCATATACACTAAAGAAGGCCAAAGATAACCTTCACGTTCACCATGGACTACACCTATTATAAGAATAGAACGACTGTTAGTTGCCTCAAATTTGTTATAAGAATATTTACGTACAATGAAGGCACTCGCACCTGTCTACAGCTGCTGTAAGTAGTGCTGGGTCAAGGGGCGGAAGACCGTAGTTGACAACACGGACAAGCTCGAGGAAGCCGGCACGCCGTATGTACGACGCGTAACGCTCGTCCAACTGATACGCCCTGGTATGCGTGCGGGGCCTCAAAGGAGGCAAGGGCACCTCTGCGTCGGTGTCACTCAAGAAGTGTGCTCGGTGCGGCTCGTCGTACTTCACCTCAAGAAGAGGGTACAACGGGTGCTGCGTGGAAGAGGTCATCCTATTATAAATTGATAAACAAAGTGTTATAGTATTCAAATTAACGATATTCAAATTAACATTATGTAGTATTACAAAATTTGAACTACTTGTTATGCAATAGGAACACAATATGAAAGCACATGTATATATTCAAAGTAACATTAACAGACATATTAAACAACTTCACTAGGAAAATAAACAACTTCTATGTATAGACCTGCTGTCCACCCGTGTTTTTGTGAGAAATATGAGATAGCTTGGATAGTCACAATTTTACCTCCTTGGTCACTAAGTTTTACGATTTATGTATGCTGATAGCAGTACGATATCAACAATGTTGTGCATGATTTTGAAGGTTCTAGTGCTTTCAATATATGCTTGAGTAAAATGATCATTTGGATTAATGTTTCCATATAAGAAAACAAGCGTATAACAATTTAAATCATAAAAACTCAACCAACCAAATTTATCGCTATATATATATATGTATGTCTAGTGCACAAAAAACACATAAATATATTTATATTTCACGTGTCTTTTAATTAGACATTTGTTTTCGCTATAATTAATAATACACTGTAAGAAATTTAATAATTAAAGTATATAAATAATAATACAATGTAAGATAAATTAACGGCTAAAATATATTTTAAAAGAATCTCTCAATCTGATGGCTAACGATTAATATAAAGGGGCAGTGAAGGTACGAGGGTTTTGATTATGAAGAAATAGGCACAAAATTTCATCTCAGCGAGGGTTGAACTGCAGTGAGGGCGTTCGTGGCGCGGCGGGTAGCCGGCGTGCGTGGCCGGAGGGCGCGGTGGGCGGCCGGAGGGGGTGGCGCGCCTTCGTTCGTGGCGCGGCACCCCTCTCGCCGCGCCACAATGCATGGCGCGGCACATGCATTTCGCCGCGCCGTGGCAATAGGCGCGGCCAAAAGTGTTAGTTTTGGAAAAAAAAATAAACAGTGTTAGATTTAAAATTAGTTTAAAAAAATGTTAAAAAAATTCGCCAACTGCAAGTAAGATCTCCATTGTTCAACAGCAAGCAAGGTGGCCATGTACTCTTTTTCATAGGTGGATAGACCTTGAGTGCGTGGGCCCAATGGTTTACTGATGAATGCCAGTGGATGACCCTGCTGTAACAGAATTGCACCAATCCCAGTGTTGGATGTGTCGGTCTCGATTGCAAAAGGTTTTGTGAAATCTGGAATGGCCAGCACAGGTGCAGAACTCATGGCTTGCTTGAGAGTATCAAAAGATAGCTGGTGCTCCGAAGTCCACACAAAGTATACACCCTTCTTGAGTAAGTTAGTGAGGGGTTTGGCAATTACAGCAAAGTGCCTGACGAACTTTCTATAAAAGCCAGCCAAACCCAAGAAGCTACGAAGTTCCTTAACATTAGCTGGTGTAGGCCAACTGACAATGGCTTCAACCTTGGCAGGGTCAGTAGCAATGCCATCAGCGCTGAAGATGTGCCCTAGATAAGATATCTTTTGCTGAGCAAAGCGACATTTGGATAGCTTAATATGCCAATGCTCGGCCTGCAGAAGAGCAAACACCTTCTTGAGGTCTTCCAAATGCTGTTCATAGGTGGGGCTGAAGACTAAAATGTCATCAAAGAAAACTATGACACATTTCCGGAGCAATGACGACAATATCAAGTTCATGGCCTGCTGGAAAGTATTTGGTGCTCCTGTAAGGCCAAAGGCCATCACCTTGAACTCAAAGTGACCTGAGTGAGTGGAAAAAGCTGTCTTATGCTCTTCGCCTGGCTTTAACCTCACTTGATGATATCCAGCGAACAGATCAAGGATGGAAAACCACTTGACATTGGACAATTCATCCATCAATTGATCAACGACTGGAATAGGAAAGGTACCCTTCACTGTTAAATCATTCAAATAGCGATAATCAACACAAAATCTCCATGAGCCGTCCTTCTTCTTTACTAGCAATACTGGGGAAGATAAAGATGACGAACTTGGTTGTATCAGACCCTGCTGCAGCATCTGTGAGACTTGAGACTCGATCTCATCCTTCAAAGCTGGTGGGTACCTGTATGGACGAATATTCACTGGCCGAGCTCCTTGAATCAGTGGGATACTGTGGTCATAAGGCCTAACTGGTGGTAATTCAGTAGGAGGAGCACATACAGTAGCAAACTGAGTCAATATGTGCTGGATGTCAGCAGGATATGATGAAATGTCATGCTCAGACTGATTAGCAGATTGCACCAACAATAACTGAAACACCACGTCAGATGAGTGATAGTCAGGAGCAGCATTCAACATCACTGAAGTAGAACCCACTGGAATCTGCATCCACTTTTGTTTCCAATCAACTTTCATTGGACTAAATTGCTCAAGCCAGTCCATGCCCACAATTAAATCATATGATTGCAGAGGTAAAATCTTAAGAGAGTGAGTAAAAGACTGAGATGCCATTGTCCAACTACAATCCATAGCTACTGCAGAGCACTGCATGATTCCCCCATTTGCAATCTGCACTCTGTGACTTGCTGGCTGCAGGTTTAGGTGCTGCAACTGATCGGCTATGCGCTGACTGAGGAAAGATGAAGTACTGCCTGAGTCAACCAAGACCACAATAGGTATATCTGCAATAAAACCAGCGAACTGCAAAGTTCTTGGACCACCAGTGCCCAAAACTACCTCTTGAGAAATAGCTAAGTTCAACTGCTCTTCAACTTGAGTAAGTCAGTTTCATCAGATATGGCAAAGAGTTCCCATACCTCCTGCATTGCATGAAGGCGAACAGTGGCAGCACACTTATGGTCACGGGACCATTTTTCCGCACAGTGGTCACAGAGACCACGTGCACGGCGATAGGCACGCAGTGCCCGGAACTTGTCTTCAGCAGTCTTGGCCTTCGCCGGTACTGTGAATCCATCATCAGCAGGCTTTAGATTGCGATCACCCGCTCCCGGTGGAGGAGGGAGAGGGTACGCATTCCTGAATGCCGGCCGAGGATAGGATGCCAGATCACGCCGACCGTCCTTGCGCTTGTTAGGATCAGCCACCTCTTCCTGCAACAGAGCCAAGGTATATGCAGTATCCAAGTTTTGGGGTCGCTGAACCACAATGACAGAACGAATATCTTCACGGAAACCATCAACAAAACGAGTTGTATAGTAGAGCATGTCAATGTTTGGGTTATAGGCTTTGAGCTGATCGATCAATTCAGAGAAGCGCTCCACATAATCGGTGACAGTGGACTCTTGGTGAATATGGAACATGCGACGGATCAGAATTTGGTGTTGATCACGGCCAAAGCGCTCATGCAGCATGCGGCAAAAAGTGGGCCAATCAAGTGATTTCAGGAGGGGTTCTATAGATTGGATCCACCGAGCGGCAGCATCCTTGAACTGTTGTCTGGAGATTTTAAGCTAGAGGTGTGACTCAACTTGGTACATGTCAAAGTAATCCTCGGCATTGGAAATCCACAGCCGGACGTTCTCGCCATGGAAAGTCGGAAACAGAAATTTGGGCATGCGACCCGGAGGCCACGAATTGGGATCAGGAGGTCTACTGCGTGCAGAGTACAAATCATAAGCAGTACCATGGAATTTTGGGGTAGAAGTCGTACCATTGGCCGGGGAATGAGTATAGGTGGTGACCACCCCAAACTCACTCTCCCGTGGTGGGTGTTCAACGCCGTGCCCGATTGGCCGAGCAGCCGTGGCGCCAGCAGATGGATGCTGGTCGGCCTGCTCCAGAGCTGGTGACGACGAGATCAAGCCCGGAGTAGCAGTGGATTGCTCGATCACGGACCTGTCAAGACTCGAGGCCACCAGTTGCCTTCTCGATGGACTTCAGGCGCTCGTCCTGACGGCGCTCCGCATCGGCGATGTGCCCATCGATACGTGTCTCCGACTCGGCGATGCGACCGTCGATGCGGGTCTCCGAATCAATGATGCGACGCTCCACGGACTGCTCCGAATCGGCGAGGCGCCGATGCAGCAGCTGCGCCTGCTCCTTGAAAAGCCGCTGCATCTCCGCCATGAGCTGCTGCCCTTCCGGACTCATGGCTCCGAGCTTCCTTGTGGATCGGGTGTAGTGGGGATGAGGTGGTGGTGGTGGTGGTGGAGTACTCGCCAGATCGGAGAAATCTGCCACAAATCGTCGAGCGTGCCGTCGGAATTACAGGAGTTCGCCGGCACTCCGCAGCTCACTGATCACCGGGAACTCGAACCAACCGACAGCGTTTGTTCAACTTCAGGCGATCGATGGAATAGTGGATCTCGCGCGATCGGGGATCGACTCGTCTCTGATACCACGTGCTAACGTAACATAATTGGGGAATAGAAGTAAAAGACAGACTTGGGGAAGGGGCAGCAAAGCACACAGGATAGGAGGAGGAACGATTCGTAGTAGAGAGTTTAATTGTTCAATACATTGTTGCCCTCCGGAGTCCTCTCAGGTACTTACACATCCGGTCCTACCGGTGGCTCACTCCGACGGCGCAGCCGCCTCTACGCCTAAGAGTCAAGCCCATTGCGGCCCATGTACGCGAACGCTCGGTAAACGAGTGCGCGAGCTCTTCTTCGTCGCTGTTCCCGGATGGACTACAGTAGATGGGCCGGCGTCAGCTTCAGGCATCTTCTGGCAATCAGCAGATGTGTCATCAGTGGTAACATATTTGCTGCAAGTTGTAACCTGCCACTCTTAGTGTATGTTATGACGAACCTAATTGTGTGTGATTATCCGATGATCATGGCTGCTAGTTTCTTGAGTAGTTTTGTTATCATGCTATAGTCAAACCTAACGAAGCCTGGCTGTGTGGTGGACGCGGCACGCGAGAATGTGCGCAGAACCTGGATGCTATTGCTATGGTTTATTGAATGGACGGGGTCAGTTGCGTTGCTTGGAAAGAAACCGTGATCAGTGCCTGCGCTACCACCGGGGCACTCCTTCACGAGCCTAGGCAAGAGCTCGGAGGGTCAGGGCCACAGCCAAGCCACGTTCATCTGAGCAAGTCCCAGGAGAGTTCCGGTTTGGATTCAGAAATCAGAAGCCAAGCTGTGATGTCCGATCCCGCATCAAAAACATCAATGCTCGTGAACCTGCTGCCAGTTTGCCAGCTCTTGCTCGCTGCCCAGTTTGCATTGTCAATCTCCGGACCCGGACGTGCTGATCTCTGCACATCAGAAAGGGCAGACCGCGGGCGCATCCACGGCACTTGGCTCAGTTGGGCTGCACTCTGGACTTGATTGTACCCTGCTTTCTTCTTACTCACCCTAAGGCGGCAAGGGACAACCAAATCTAGGAGACACTCCAGTAATCGCAGAGTGGAACCACGTTGAGGTTGTGCCCGCAGTGCAAGTTTGTATCCTCTAACATATCGAAACAAGTACTAGTTAGAGGAAGGCGAACTTGCATAGCCGTAACGCTCGGTGTGAAGGCGAGGTACCGCCAGAGTAAGCTAAAAGGCTAGAGCTGATCTCTACGTTGCAATCTAGTAGAGATTTCCCGTAGGTCTGGCTAGGAATGAATGGAAGTGGTTGCTTAGAGGAATGACCCCTTTTCGTCAGGTCGAGTACTATCAACGAAATACGTCCGGCAGTCTGCCGAGGAGTATGCCTACGATAGTAGATAAATCGGTGGAGGTACGCGTGAGGGAACCGGATGGTGACACAAAACGTAAAAGACAACGATTAGATAGGTTTAGGCCGTCAGCTTAACATAATACCCTACGTCCTGTATCTTTGTGGGTTGTATTATGAGACATGAGATAAAAATGAGAGGGGTCTCTACTCGCCTTATATAGCCGGGGGTAGGGTTACAGGTCGGTTGTTTCTATCCTGATCGGTTTACAAGATAGGAATCACAGAGATTGTGGAATCTAGCATATCCGAACAGATCATCCCGCCAAGGATCTTCACGCAGTCTTGCGAGGCACGCCGATCTGTGCCATGCTCCACGCGGCGTAGTCTTACGGGCTAGGCCTCCCCTGGCGGCTCGGCCCATGCACAACCCTGTGGCTCTTGGGGGTTATACCCCCACAGTTAGTCCCTGAGCGCCTTGTATCCGTTAAACAACACCGTCTTTAGCTTGTCCGAGCAGTTGAACAAGCACCCGAGTTGTTAGAGAAGATGTCCGAGCAATTCAACTGGGAGCCGAGCTCGGACTCACGTGAAGTCAAGGTTTGTTGGCAGGATGTAAGGAGCTCAAGTAAAATTTTTGAAGTCTTCATCTTAGATGAAGTGTGCCCACTTAGGTTTCGGGCAACAAAGTTAGACGCTTAGCGTCCCTGACTTAAGCGCGGAGGAACTTAGTCCCTCAAGAACGAAGAGCGATGCTTAGCATCAATGCCTTAGGCAAAACTGACTCTTAGAGTCAAAACAGGGATCTTGAACGATTACTGTCTACGACTTAGTCGCTTCGTAGAAAACCAGGTCCAGAAATAAGCACATTCACTGTTAGGTGAAGTGTACCCACTTAGTCCCCGAGCCTGGCAATAGGTGAGGTAATCACGTGGTGTCAGGGTCCAAAGTAGTAGTCATCAGGTGTTAACCAGTCTCCAGCTTAGCTGAAAACTAGTACCCAGCGTAGCTAAGATAAGCAGCGTGGAAATAAATACAGTCATCACAAGATGACATGTACACACGTAGTCCTCGAGCCTGCTAGAAGATCGCGAAGATATCTTGTTGTAGGGTCAGAGGAAGAAAATATCTTGTCGTAAATGTCTAAAAAACTCCATCGAAGCAACGCTTAGCGTTGAATCCCGTTTCATCGGCCCGCGTTTGACGCGGTTTGACGCGGTGGCCCACCAGGCCCATTCGGCGGCCCAGCGGTGCGCGGAGATTTCGGGATAGAACGCAGCAAGGCAGGCGCGGTTTCCCAAAAACCCTAGGAGGCGAAAGGTTAGGGGTCAAACCGTTATAAGAGCGCCGCAGCCCCGGCGCACATTCCCCACTATCTCTCCTTCACTTCATCTTCTTCCTCGCGCCCACACCTCTGTGCCTAGCAACTGCTCCGCCATTAGAGCAACCCCAAGCGCGTGTTCTCCTCCAGGCCATAGATCTGTTAGATGGCGCCAAAAAGAAACCATGGCTTCTCGAGTAGGGCAGCGCGCGAGCTCAATCACGTCGAGGAGTGGGTGGAGTCCATCAGCAATGAGGCGGTGCTCAATCAGTTGGTGGTGCACGGCGTGCTGCCCGATAGGGTGACGGCGAGATGACGTCTGGCTCGCGGTGAGAGCTTTCCTACTCCTCGTGGCGATGAATTAGTAGTTTTTGAAGATTACTTCTATCACGGATTTGGTGTTCCAATCCATCCATTCCTTCGTGGGTTGATTGACTATTACGGGATCAATCTTTGCAATCTCAGCCCAAATTCCATCCTTCATGTCTCTGTCTTCATCCATTTCTACGAGGCCTATCTTGTCATTCTTTCCCATTTTGATCTCTTCCACCACTTCTTCTGTTTGAAAGCCTAGGGAGATTTGGATCTATTATCATAGGCGGCGTGTACTTGCAGCTTTGGGACAGGACGGTGGGTCAATATATCACCACCCTTTTGAATACAAATGTGAAGTATTGGGTGCAACAATGGTTCTACATGCCATAGGTGGAGCCGTATGTGGCATGCGACGTTGATTAGATCCCCGTGAGCAACGCCAAGTGGTTGGAGAGGCCTAGTGCCAACGAAATGGAGCAAGTGACGAAGCTCTTGGCGCTGATAGACCGGAGAAGGTTGGATGGGGTGACCGTGGCAACAAATTTCACTTTTCGGCGGGTCTAGACCAGCATGGAAAGGGCACATCCCGGGTATGAATTTTGGGGGTAGACTGATGGGACCCGTGAGGTACCCGAGGAGATCAATCGGGATGAAGCCAAACGGCGTATCTCGATGATGTTGAACCTTGCGGGGCATCTTAAGATCAACAACCAACAGAGGCCCTTCCATGTAGAGAGCCTCCCACCACGGGTAAGAGTCTTCTTTTTTATTTGACTTGTTCCCTTATATGTTGTAATGTGCTCATTCGTGTTCCTGAAGATTCATGGGCAGGACCGGACGATGTACTTCTCAGCGGTACCGTCGGCTGACCGAGGACCAACAACGATGCGGTCCTTAAGCGACACAGACGGAATCACATGAGTCAACCTACAACATAGACTCTGCTCGACCTCTAATTACATCATCACATGGTTCATTTCCACGATAGCAAATATAGCCAACCGTGACCAGGTATCCCCTATAGCTCGTAGGTGATAGGAAATCACCCGACTTTTACCGAATTAAGCATGGCTAAGCATTTATTTGATCCTAGACCTACACAGGATCCAAGGTACATATTTCTGCATAAGGAGATTATATGCATCAAGTATTTCCAAACAACTCCTACAACTTAATGCATCAAACATAAAGAACTCAAATTGGTATTTGTAAAACATAGGAGGCTTAGAATGCTCCGGGACTTGCCTTTCAAGTAGACTGAGGGCTTATGGTCCGGGCACTTAGGTAGTTCTTCCTGGACCTGTTCTTCGCCTTCTGGAACTTCCTCCTGTTGGGTCTCCTTCTGGTCCTCCTCTCCCACGACCTCGAACTACAGAAGTGTTATCCCCTTCCGGCGATCCTATATGCGTAAAGATATAGATAAATACAGAGAATGCATAAGGGATGAAGTGCAAGTATGGTACGATGAAATGCATATACATACACATCCTTAGCAACAAGATAACAAGATGATGACAGGATTACTTTTTGGAGTAGGTGCATATCTCCTCTCTAGTAGATTAATTTTTGTTTACTGAGTAGGTGCATATCTCTTCTCTAGCAAAGCAAACATACACTCACCATGTTCTCGCAACCTAAGATAAAGTTGTTTATCATCAGTAAGAGACCTAAAACCTACAGCTAACAACTTATCTTAATTAGCCTAATCATCTAACTAACAAGCATCAAGTTCATACCAAGCAACCAAGTCATAGAACTAGATAAAAGTGAATTATGGGCAATAAATAACTAGCTGCACATAAACACTCAATTCAGGGCACAACCAAATGTACCAATAGGTTATACCC